CCTAATTGCGTTAACAATGATTAATATAACTTATCACCGAACAAGACATTAAATGTTAATATAAGCACGGTCAGTTACAATTCGCTGACTTTTTACATAACATTACCATTAAAGGGAGTTGCTAAATTAAGCAAAATTGCCTACAATCACATAAAAATCGTGAGACACATTATTCTCAAAAGTAATTTCGACATATATATTTTTTTTTTTGGCAAAAGCAGAACCCACAAGGCTAAAAAAAATCACTTTCAATAATTGATTTATCGCGATATTATTACCATTTAATTTATTGGGAAACAAATCGTGATCGATTCGCGATTAAATTGAATCAGGTTGAGGTTTGGAAAAGTCTTTCGAAAGTTCAAATTTCATCTGTAAAGAGACGCGACACTTTAATCAAAAACTAGCAGGGGCTCTGTGCAAATTTGCCATCGTATTTATGTTTGCGCACCAAGTTTTATCAAAAAGCCGCAGCTCTGTTTGGGCTTTAAAGTGGTATAAAATGAAGCTGATTTTCATGGGGCGAGGATTTGTTCAGAGGAAATTTATTTGATTGTAACACTATTTCATTACCTACATACAATGGATCATTTTCACGAGCTCAAATATCTGTGCTTTGGTTTAATTATGAATGTTTGTAGATTTGGACTTCATTCAGATTTTCAGACTTGGCAAAAATCCAGCTAATTGTATTATAGTGAAAAGAGAATTGGATTTTGGAATTTTTTTGGTGGATATTTGCGTTTTTGGTTTATATTAGTCATATTTTTGATATATACAAATTGGAATGTTGAAAAACCTTTTAACACTTTACAGAACACTTTACAACAGAACACTTTAGAACCAATTTAGGGTTTCAGAAACATTCTAGAACATCAAATTAATATTGAACCACGAATTCGTCGCTCTTTCGCATCTGTATGTAGGTGATCTGTGCTATAGGTCCAAATGAGTTGAAATTTCCAGGGAATGTAGTCCCTTCATTGGGATGAAATTCAGTGAAAATTTCAGCTTTTTATCTATAATAGAAAAAAGTTATGACCTTTCAAAATTTTCCAAAATCTAAATCATAAGGTAGGTATTGTTCGTCGATTTTTAACTGATACTTGCGGTATGAGGAGCGAGGGGGTGTTTCATATGGGAAAAACAGGTGTGACGTCAGGTAACCATTGGCGTTCTAATGTAGGGAGCCACCAGCTCACATTCCGTCCGAGTATCAGATTAAAATCGACGAACAATACAGGGTCTGTTCCTCATAATTAGTGCGGCTTCTACAACCTAAACAAAAGAAAATACAAAAAAAAGTTTAATACAAAAGTTATAGGGTTTTATGTCTATTATGTTTTGTATATGTCAAAATGGACTAATGACAGATGCCAACTGTCATAATGACAACATTTGCATTTTTTTAAATGGAACACCCTGTATATTTTTGGCTAGAATGATAGATTTTTTCTTCTGATTCCAAATATACCATTTATGTTGATATTTAGTTCAGCTGTTTTTGCGCTATTTCATTTTAAAATTGCATTGAGCAAGCCCCATCATTGATATTAGAAACCGGGAACAGACCTAATTTAGGGTAATGTTAATGCATTTTTAAACTTGAATAGCTCAACAACAGCTGAACCAAATATCAACATGGTATATTTGGAATAAGAAGAAAAAAGTCTATTATCCTAGCTAAAGATATACAGGGTGTTCCATTTAAAAAAATGCAAGTGCTGTCATTATGACAGTTGGCACCTGTCATTTGCCCATTTTGACATATATGAAAGATAATAGAGATTATTCCACTCATGTGTTAGAAATCCCATTTGTTTCTATTTTCCAAATTCCATTTGTTTAACTAGAGAGAATTACAGCGATAATTCTCCCATGTTATTGTATACATGGTTGTCATGCTAATTTTTGATACAAACAAACGGTTTCTGACAGCAACCATTTATTTGTATTGATTGCTGAGATGTTCAAATCGTTTAATACATATTTATTTCCATATTTTTTGCATTCTCATACGTGAAATAATCCTCAAAATACCACTTGAGCATTAAAATTAACCAGAGAATTTCATACATCTGTCAAAACTGGTATTCTAACAATAAATTGACATGTTTTGATTGTTGATTTGAACCAATCAGATTGTAATTACGCGATAATTTGCACTAGTGCAAATTATCAGATAATTGCATACTAACTGGTGCGAAAACTGGTGTTTTGACATTTTTTGACCAAAAATTTAAATTTTTGATTTATGAAATTCTCTCATTAAATACAACTCGTGCAATGGAAATATATTTATAATTTTCGACAAATTTGCACTCATGCGTTTTTAATTGAAAAAGGCACGAGTGCACTACGTGCACTCGTGCGCTTTTTCAACTAAAAATGCATTCGGGCAAATTTCCCAAAAATTATCAATAATTTCCATTGCACTAGTTATATTACCATTGATAATTTTTCACTCATGCGTGTTTTCTCTGCAAATTTCACTCGTCCTACGGACTCGTGAAATTATAGAAAACACGCAATCGTGAAAAATTATCGGTAATTTTGAAGCTCTCGTGGTATTATCAATAGTAATATAACTAGTGCAATGGAAATTATTGATAATTTTTGGGAAATTTGCCCGAATGCATTTTTAGAGCACGAGTGCACGTAGTGCACGAGTGCCTTTTTCAGTTAAAAACGCATGAGTGCAAATTTGTCGAAAATTATAAATATATTTCCATTGCACGAGTTGTATTTAATGAGAGAATTTCATAAATCAAAAATTTAAATTTTTTGTCAAAAAATGTCAAAACACCAGTTTTCGCACCAGTTAGTATGCAATTATCTGATAATTTGCACTAGTGCAAATTATCGGGGATAATACCACGAGAGCTTCAAAATTACCGATAATTTTTCACGATTGCGTGTTTTCTATAATTTCACGAGTCCGTAGGACGAGTGAAATTTGCAGAGAAAACACGCATGAGTGAAAAATTATCTGGTTTATTTTAAAGCTCAAGTGGTATTTAGAGGATTATTTCACGTATGATGAGAATGCAAAAAATATGTAAATAAATATGTATTAAACGATTTGAATATCTTAACAATCAATACAAATAAATGGTTGCTATCAGGAACCGTTTGTTTGTATCAAAAATGAGCATGACAACCATGTATACAATAACATGGAAGAATTATCGCTGTAATTCTCTCTAGTTAAACAAATGGAAAAGAGAATTTTCGCTGTAATTCACTTGTCTCATGGCATTTTTAACAAATGAGTGGAATAATCGCGTAATTATAATCTGATTGGTTCAAATCAACAATCAAAACATTTCAATTTATTGTTGAAATACCAGTTTTGACAGATGTATGAAATTCTCCCCGATAAAACCCTACAACTTTTATATTTAACTTTTTTTTGTATTTTCTTTTGTTTAAGTTGTAGGAGCCGCACTAATTATAAGGAACAGACCCTGTACCTTCTTACTAAAACAATGAAATTTCAAATTTTTTTTGCCGAGATTTTGTATCCTTATGGTCAATCAACATACCCCAAACTCCATACACTAAATTATTCTCAGATTTGAAGCTGAGATCTATGAAAAAAGGCACATAGAAAAATTGGAAAATTGATAAATCACCCCAAACCACGATTTTATCTCAGGAACTATAAGCGCAAATGAGCTAAAATTTTCACTGTAGTCCCTTGATTAGGATAAAATTCAGTGAAAGTTTCAGCTTTCTATCTATAATAGACAAAAATGTATGACCTTTCAAAGTTTTCCAAAATCTAAATCATAAGGTGATTCAAGTAGCCAAATACGAGTCATCTTGTAGTCGGCAGTCAAGGTGTTTAAGTTCTTTTATATCTGTAAAATATTTGACCTACTACTCTGGATATTGTTTCACTTTTTAACTTATTTTGAATTCAAAGTTATTTGCAGAATTCAGAATTTTTGTGTAATTATCCTGCAACTATTAACAGCTTCTTGATTGTCTCTATAATAATTGTCCAAACGAATGAAGACTGTAATAATTCAAATATTAATCATTATCGGCTTTTGATTGGCTGGATTATTCTGCAGGCAATCAAGAGCTGTTAATAGACTAAATTTCGATTATCACCGGCTCTTGAGTCTTGATTGCCCCTTTAGTAAATCAAGAGCTGGTAAAAATCAAAATTTGAACTGTTAACGTCTTATACAATTCTTAATTTCAATGATCTCAAAAACTTCCCCAGTTAAAACTAACCCGGAGGTGACTGACTTTTGAGAAACCGGCACTTAGAATTTTTCTAGAGGCAATCAAGAGCTAGTAATAGTCCAAACTGTTAACTTTCTTGAAGTTTTCGTATTCCGTTGCCTCGATTTTTTTCTGTCGTCCACTTTAAATGTCTATCATAATAGAAATAGATTCATATTATATTGAAAACACTGAAAACTGCCAAGAATATTAAAATTGGTGAGGATTGATTTGGATTCTTTGGAAGATGCTTCAAACACTTTTTTAAGTTACGTTCAACTAGAAATAGAATTACTGCATTTTGAGAAGTTCAATGCTAATTAAAAGTGATTGTAGATGCTTTTAAAGTGGCTTAACACTTTGGATCCTGATACTCTAAAACAATATGGGTGTTCAGGGACTCTGGCGTTTAATAGAGCCTTCAGGAAAACCAGTACCATTAGAAAGTTTGGAAAATAAATTCCTTGCTATTGGTATCCTTTAGCAGTAATTCATTTTTCCATAACCTAATCCAGTAAATCCTCAAAAAAAAAACTCTCAGATATCTCAATATGGTTTCATCCTCAACAAAACTCAATATCTCAATATGGTTTCAAGTAGACAAAATTCAGAAGCAACTGCTAAGAACTTTTCAGTCAGTGAAGTGCTAACAGAAAAAAATAGAGCCTCAATTGCTAGGTCGCCCAAAGTAACAAAGCCTCAACCAGGAGACATGTACGTTTTGCCATTTAATTCTTAATTGGACAGTATTTTTTCTAGTTCAGAAGATGAATTTTTCAATCGATATAAACAACAACGCTTCAAATCTTTATCAGTAGACGTGAGGCACGAAATTTTAATTAATTTAAAAGAGACCAGGAAGCAAAACTCTTGGGGCAGGCTTCACGAATTACCAGCTGTTAGTGACGACTTTTCAGTTTATCAAATGAAAATATTGCTCAAAAAACAAGCGGTGCAAGCAGCTTTGGAGGAAGCTGAAAAAGAAATGGGCGGTAAATCTGTTGCTGAGCTAGAATTGATACTCAAAGATCAAGGTGTCTTTCTTTCAGGAAATAATTCGAAAGACATTGAAAAATTGAATGAAGATTGATTTGAAATGAAATCAATACTGATGATGATCGTTTCATAGGTTTAGAAAAAAAACATTTTTCTTTGAGAAAAACATAATTATTATTTCAATTTTCTGTGAAATGTAAATCCAATGATTTTTAGCTTTTCTACCTCAGAGTTTTCTGCAATGTTTATAATCCAAATTAATATATTATCGAAAGAATTTCATTGTCATTTGAATCACGAAAAGAATGCCTTAAATCCATTTCCATATTATGACAGTTAGTAAATCAATATCGACATTTCAATAACTTATCGATGCCTATACTAACGATAAATCCAAGCATGAAAACTGGCATATAATTTACGTCACGGTTTCCTGCAGTTGCCGCTGCAATATTTATGTATTCAAATTTAACGCCGCTCTACACTTTTAAATTATCCATCGACTGCAGATGTAAATGACAGCGTAAGCATAAATTATTGAAAAAAAAAACAAGTCGTTATAGGTATGTACTTTTAAAACAAAACGGTTCCATTAATAAATAATTTTGAGTGTAAGGTCGGCCGTATGCAAATTGTGTATTTTAATTGAAAGGAGGCGAAACGAGTTGATTGAAAATTAGGCGTAAAATGTCTCTTGTAGTTAAAGGACAAACGTAACAACAACCTGTCAGATTTTTAAAGGTTAAGAGCAAAACATTCAATTAACTGTTGTTTCTCCACAAAGTTCCAAAAAAAAGTAGATAATTGAACAATTTAATAACATTTAATTGGTTAAGATGTTTGTTGCGTGACTTAAATGCTGGCTCTTAATTGGCAATAATTTTGATCTAATTCTTGTTCTAAAAAAATTGTTTCGAATTTTGATTCAGGAATTCTGTGGCTTATAACTTAGTGAACGCTTGTAACATAATACCGAAACATAACCTAAAAAGCGAATCATTTAATCAGATTTATATTATCTTGAAAATCCTCGCGTGACTTTATCAATATCATATCCCGACGATTTTCGATGTTCGAAAGACAGAAACAAGCCCTGCCTGCCTGGGTAGGTCAAGGAAATGTATTTATATGTAATAAAAACGGCCTTAGTGCGTCCAAAAATACGGCGGTCGGAAAAAAATCATTAAAGGACATCCTGTCTTGCGGGCACAAACGTAAGCAACTCATCATAATTGCCAATTAGGTGCACAATTTGCGAAAAAAATGACCTTGGCCTTTTAGATAACGTAATTGAGATAATCGAAACTGCATGCTTTCAACTACATATTAAGTATAGTTCTCAATTGTTGTTTGTTGCTAAACCGCCGGGATGTCTTTAATTAATTGGCTTAATTAATATTTTTGTATTAATTGTTGAACTGCGTCACGGTATATCTAGGGAAATGCAGTATGACATTCATTTTCTGACATGCAAAAATTATATAGAGTTTATAGTTGAAGCCTCTTATTGACAGCTGATACTAAAGACCGTTTCCAGAATAAAAAGATAACCCAAAGTTAGAATACCGTGGCTTAAAATCAAAGGACGACACAAATCACGAGAAGAGAATCCCGTATTAAAGATGGAACTCAATAATCGAAAAGTACGCACATTTGGCAATGGAGAAATTCAGGTTATCAGCAATAACTAACGCAGTATGGTGTTCAAAGTTAGGAGACCTGTTTATTGACAGACCTAAGAATTTATTGAAGATTCGCATAGAGACATTGAATGTCAAAGAATTGGCGTTACACCAGCCTTTTATTTTAAGCAGCTCCGTCCTCATATTGGCCTCCATTCTACCAACATCTCAATTATGCCAGAGGACAGAGGTATCGTCTGCAAATACATACTGTGAATCTACCTGTTATCTGGAGTTGTGATTGATAGGTCATTGGGTTGATCATTTACATAAATAGGGAAAAGCAGGGGATCAGGTAATAAACCCTGAGGGACGCCCACGCTGATAACAAGTTCCCTAGAGGCACCAATGGTACCACCATTAAATTTAACAGCCGACAGGTAGAAATGGAACAATTCTAAGGCTGTTCCCCTAAAGCCCTACAGCCCAAGTTTCCTCAGCAGCACTAGGTCGAAAGTGTTTGACGAATCACAAAACACCGCTGCAGCGACCTCGCCAAAGCCAAAGCCAAACTGCTGAGAGCTCAAAAGGTCGCGCTTGTTCAAGATTCAAAAATGAAACCATCCTAACCTTAACGAGCCGATTCACAACCTTAGCCCAAGTAGGATTAGGGAACAGTGCTATAGATCTAAAGTTAGAAGGACAATCATGCTCACCATCCTTATAAAACTTTATTAGCTTTGTTTTTGTTTTGGTTTCACTCAGAACTAGTTCGGAATCATTCTGCACATGCGCATATTCTATAAAACGTGTTTTCGTTTTTTCAGAATCGTAATCGAACTGTGTTGACAGTGTTTTGGGATTGTTCTAGAACGGTTCTCTCAGTTCATGCTCTGAAGGAGGAGTTGTTTTAGAATTTTGTGATTTGCGGCGTGTTTTGGTTTTTCTGGTTCCGAATCAGTTCAGAACTAGTATTAGAACAGTATTCTATTATTTTTTGTTCGCAAGCAGCTCTGCGCAATCCCAGAACCGTTCCAAATTTCGAACCAAAACAAAGCTATTGATAATCTATGCCTGTTCTCTTCAGACAGGCAGGGAAAACCCCCAACATCAAAAGAAACGGTAATTGCCTGAGCAAGAACCCTCAATGAGAGCCCATTCCAACCTGACGCATCCTTATTCCTTATATACTCCTAGATAAAATTATCGCACCACTGCTTATGTGCAGTGGTGGTGCGATAATTTTGTCCAGGAGTATATTTCCATATTCGGAACAAAATAATCATGTTTTAGATAGCTCTTGGGATCACTCTTTGTTGAAATTTTAGCTGAGAGTTCAGTAACAATATTGCAGTATCAACAATTTAGGTCCTCAGGATTCAGATTTCTTGGAGTGACCAAACCATTATTCCTACCCCTCAGGTCATTTACAATTTTCCAAGTTTCCTTTGATCTATTAGAAGAATTATTCATCCTGTTCTGAAAGTATGTCCACAGGCCCTTTGTATACCAGGGTTTTCTCTTGCGTTTCTTTATATTGACAATAGGGAAAGCAATATCTAAATTACTCAATAGCACCTGTTGAAACTGTTGCAACGGGCTGAGAGCAGCCAGAACGTCATTCCACTCCGATGGCCGAGTAGCAAAGCAAATTAAACTTGAAGAAGTTTGTCCTAGTATAAATCCACCCTGATCAGTTTCACTGCCATTACTGCTATGTGTCAGACATTTGATCGTTACACACTGAATTTCAATCGGACTGAAATTCGTACAGAAATAGTCCAATATCGAAGCAGAAAATGCGAAAAAGTGGGTCCACGTATAATATCTTACTGGTTTCATAGATCTACTTATGTTCGACATAGACGGATACATAATCCAAATAAGCATACTGTCAAATTTTCTTCTACAGTTGTCAAGTCGATTACCCTCTGGAAGAAATCAATTCCATTTGTTACTCCACTCTAGAAGATAGTCTTCGATACAACTATAACAACTGTCAAGCAGCTTCAAATGCAGTCTATGGTTTATCCTGTTCTTTGATAGTTATCTGATGACATGCATTTTCGACACAATAATAATTATTGTACTAAACATCTTATGGAAAATGTTGTCGACCGGCGTTTCTATGTTAAGAAGCGGATAAGATAGACATCTAATAGTACGTATATCCTGTTCACAATCCGATGTCCACAGGTGCAGGTAAATTTATCACCTTTAACTTTAAATAGCATTGAAAGGTGATACATTTTACCTGTACCTGTGGACATCGGATTGTGAACGGATAATAGTGTGCGATTTTCATTGTGAATCGATTCCATCTTTCTCACTCTATATAGTTCCTTAATGTGATAATAGTTCCATCACTCTCACATCTCACATCTATTTTCCTGTAACACGGGTTTGTCATAGTAGTTAACAGATAAACATCGAATTGAACTTCATTTTTCAATCGATTTTTTTCTGACTCAGTTGAATTCAAGAGCCGGGAATAGACAAAAAATGATTCCATCTCTGTCACTCTGAATAGTTTATTTACTTGGTAATGAGTATGTCTCTCTCACATCACACCAATTTTCCTGCCACACGGGTTTGTCACAGTAGTTGACAGATGAACATTAAATTGAACGTCATTCGTCAATCAATTTGTTTATAACTGAGTTGAATTCAAGAGCCGGGAATAGATAAATACCGATTCCATTTCTCTCACTTTGTATAGTTTCTTTTTTTGGTAATGGTTCCATCTCTGTCTCATCTCAAACCAATTTTTCTGTGACACGGGTCCATCACAGTAGTTGACAAATAAAAATTGAAATAAACGTCATTTGTCAATAAGTTTGTTCAAGACTGAGTTGAATTTAAGCGCCAGGAAAAGACAAAAGATGATTCTATGTCTCTCACTCTGTATAGTTTCTTTACCTGGTAATAGTTCCATTCCTTCCACATCTCATATTAATTTTCCGGTCACGCGGGTAAGTAACAATTAAATGTCATTTAACAATGAACTTGTTTATGACTGTCATGACTGAGTTGAATTCAAAAGCCAAGAATAGACAAGAATTGATTCAATCGCTATCACACTGTATACTTTCTCTATATCCTATTCACAATCTGTAGTCCAAAGGTACAGGTAAATTAATCACCTTTGCCTATCAAATAGCATTGAAAGGTGATAAATTTTACCTGTACCTTTGGACTACAGATTGTAAATAGATAATATCAGGGGTCGTATATTTTCGAATTCATTCGAGTATATTTTGTACACGAAATTTGACTGACAGCAATGTAAATTAAATGGGGAGCATTCGAAATCGTATCAAATTTCATATGCGAGAATATTCGAAAATACGACCCCTGGTAATGGTTCCATCTCTCACCAATTTTCCTCACATGGGTTTGTCACAGTAATGACAGATGAAAATTGAATTAAACGTCATTTTTCAATCAACTTGTTTATAGCTGGGTTGAATTC